AAATAGGGGGCTACGTCCCCTGGACCCCCGTAGTAATATATACTACCCCATGGTAGTATATGCATATAGAATTCACCCTCGCCCTTCAAAATGCTTAAGTTCCAAGAAGCTGTCCTTCCTTGCAATTAGTACTCCTTTTTCAATTGCTCATGGTCTAACATGCATGAATCTCTTGATTTACGTAACAAATGACATAAGCAAAAAATAATTCTTTACTAAGAAAAGGTATATGGAGTGGTTACCTTGACGAAAACTAAGACCCTTTCATCTATGGCAAAAGGTGCACAGATCGAGTATAAAGGAGATATAGGACAGAGAGAAGAGAAGATATACCCTTAATTTTCTAAGTCCTCTTCATGTTTACCTTGCTAGGACCAAAACAAGTGTGACGTGTAACTCATTACTGCAATCTATCAAGTAGTCCATGTATTGTGAGAACGTCAGTCATGTTGCGTCAATTCTGGGTCGTTTTTAAAGCCATATAGTGGATATACAAAACAAATAGACATTAGTATCTATCTGAGCCTGATATTTGAGCCCATCAAGTGCCCCAAATCCCCCCCCAAAAAAGTGATTAGAAACCAAGCAATGCTGACCATAGTCGGTCGAAAGAAAAGCTCAGTTTTTCGCTATTTAAAAGTGTGTGGTTTTACCCGGGGGGGTCTTGGAGGCTTGGTGGCCAGGGAATATATATATATATTGTTTTGTATAAACCCCACAGGGTTATGGTTAGGTTGGTTTATTGGTTAGGACGCATTGTACGATTACCACGGGATCTGGATTATGTGAATGATGGGTTTGATTCCCAAGTTTTTTTTAATTTGGCACGTCAGTCTGTACTTTCAGAGATGGCGTCCATAGGGTTTCACTAGCTGATTTAAAGCTGCTGCTGCTGCTTGCTTGCTTGCTTGCTTGCTTGTTTTTTTTTTTTTTTTTTTTTTTTTTTTTTTTTTTTTTTTTTCCCCTCATTTTAAATGTTATTGTTCTCTCTTATCAGGACTTATCAGATCACATCAAGATTGTCAGCTGGAGAATGTGATGAAAATGATCATCAGATTCGTTCTCATCACACGAGAACAAATCTGATGATATAAATATTGTCAGGGAAGATCCAATTGTCATAGTTGGAAAATTGACCATGATCACACCCCTATTACTCCATAAACATCAAATGAACCAAAAGACCTTCCTAACATGAAGGATTTGGCCCCAGATCCCTTCCCTGTCACTGTATTCCCCCATCAGGGGCACTGCTGTCTGATCCTTACTCAGTTACTGTAGATTTGCTCTCTGCGTGGCATTTGTCAGGAGCACATAAGTATTTTTTTTTTAGCCAAAAAACAGTAGTGTGATTTACAGTATGGGTTTGGCTTGACCTTTTGAAAGCACATTACTTGAAAAAGATATTTTGTACAATAGTAGAAATAATAGATAGATAAGGTATCTTATTGGAGGGGCTCACAAACTCCTCAATCATTTAATTGGTTTGTTTGAGTAGAGACCATCAGGTTCATACATTTATTTCTTTTATCTTTAGATTTGTTGTTTTATTTAATTTATTTCCATCCCATTTGATTTTAAAGAACATTCCTTTTGTTATCGAGATAAACCTTTCCAATTTATCTTACTTTTACCAATATTTCCTTTGAAGTGTATTCTCTCCATGATATTTATAATGATTCATCCATTCTTCTGCGTCTTTTCTTTACATTCATCTGTGCGTTCCTTCTATATCCTCCTTGTTCATGGATTTATAGTAATTATTAACATTTAAGTAATTCACCCATTCTTCCAACATCTCGCTTCCTTGCCTGTTCAAAAGTATTTATATTTCCCACAAAATAAAACATCCAACACATACCTCTCCAGCAGCCAAAGAATAGATAGATGAAATAAAGAGCACCTAATAATAAGGATAAGAATATAACCTCAGATATGGAAAAGAATTTGCAAATTTCCCCACAGCCAAGAGTGCCCTCGTCTTCGTACTTTCCTTAACTATTCCCCCCCAGAACCTTATCTTCAGATTCCTCCAGTCACGCGCCAGAGTGCAGATCTGGCTCTACGAGAACCAGAACCTCCGCATCGAAGGCCACATCATTGGCTTTGACGAGTACATGAACGTGATGCTGGACCAGTCCGAGGAAGTGCACATGAAGAAGGGCACCAGGAAAGCCATCGGTAAGTTATAGGGGGCAGGGAGAGCGGCATGGGGATTGAGAGTGCGGCTGGGGAATGGGCAGAAGAATGGGAAATGGGTTTGGCACTGGGGAGGAGGAGGGGTGACAATGGCGGGTTGGCAGTAGCAAGAAAGAGGAGTGCCAGTAACGGGTGGGTAATGAGCAGAAGTGGGGGTGTCACCAGTTGGAGGGTAAAGGGAAGAACTACCGTGGCAGTGAAAGGGAGACATTTGGGGGTAGGGGAGGTGGTGGTAGTGGTTTGTAATGGGGAGTAGGGTTGGCAGTGATGGGTGAACAAGGGAGAAGAGGGTTGGCAGGGGTGAGTGAGCAGGTATAGCAGGTAATAGGGGTGGGTAGGGGGGGGTGAGGGGTTGGTAGCAATAGTGAGTGGGGAGTGGAAATAATGGAAGAGGGGTTTGCAATGGCAAATAACTAATGGAGAGTAGGGGACAGCAGTGATTAATGGGTAACAGGAAGAAGGGGGAAGCAGAGCCATCTATCGGCAGACATTTCACGAAAAACATAGAAAGTGGGCACAATATTTTCCCCATTTTTTTTGTTCATTTTCCCCGGCACCATTGGGTTAAAGAATCTGTAATTCAGAAGTTGATGTTGAGTTTGATGAAATTTGATGAGGTGTGTGATAACATATTGATAATCCACCAGATATGTGAACCTGACAAAGAAACTGTCATAGAATCCTCAGAGAAAGTACGCACTTCAATGAAAAAAAAGTTACAAGCCTTATTTACTTCTAAAAGAGCTTTGATATTCATGTGATGAAACAAAACATTTGAAATTTATTTGTTAAGAAACTAGATTGAAATGCTCATAGAGCTTGTGAAGAAAAAACATTTGCCTTTTTACCACTACAATGTTTGTTTATTAACTTTTCTATCTTTCTATCTCTTCCCATAGGTCGGATCTTGTTGAAAGGAGACAACATAACCTTGATTCAAAATACGCAGCCAGATGGAACGAGCATGTAGGCGAGAAGAAACCCATACAAGAATTTTTATTTTATAATAGAATAACTAAGTTATATTTAAGTTTTTATTTTACATCCGAGTTATGTATTGATTCTTTTTCTTATGTTATGATACCTTGAATGGATGATTTTCCCTCTTTTCTTTTCTTTTTTTTAATTATATATATTCAGCGCAGAAATGGAAAACAGTTTTAATTTGTTCTTAGAATCCATGAATAATTTTAAAAGGTTATTCCCTTCTGTATTGAAGCCCAGCAAGCCAGATTCACACAGCATAAAATTTAGATCTTTTTTGACTTTTGAATCGACCAGACTGCCAAGTTGATAAAAGATTTCCATGCAATGCAAGTCAGATTTTTATTGAAGTAACTGATTGAATTATATTTTGCATAGGAGTTCAAAGCTTTGTTATATTCAGATGAGTCATTTTCGTAACTTTTTTGCATTCATGTTGATGGAACCATTTAATTTTCTTACAATTGAATAAAAGATGAAGAGAAATATTTATGTTAAATGTTTCTTGTAATGCCAGTGAACATTTTGTAATTACCCACGTCAACACTGTTTTGTAATAAAATGTTAAAATCTATAGATTATCATCGTATTACTGAGTCGTCCTAGATATTACTTATTTAGCATGGAGTTGAAATGAAGATATGTACAAGGAAGGCCCATACACTTCAATATTTTATTTTATTTCTTTTTCTTTTTTTTATTCAATAATCTTTTGGTGCTTACATTGCTAACCTACCTAATCCCTTGCTCATTGTTGTGGGGTGGGGGGGGGGGGGGTTAGGAGGCAAAGACTGAGGCCCAAAGTAGGGGATCACCCCTACCTTGGACCTCAGCCCTCGCCTCAACTTATTGGTCTTTTCTTCTCTCCCTTTCCTTTCTTTCTCTTCATCAGCCCCTTCTTCTGTCCACTTCCTAAGATGTGAGAACCTTGCTGAAAGGATGAAAGGCTGGCTTTGTGTCATTTATGAACAGCCTGCAGGAGCTATGGGCATGGTATTCCCTTACCCCTCATGTAGATCCTGAGGTGTAAGACTGTTTCCTGTCCCCATTTATTGCAGGCTCACCATGGCCAGTAATGAAGATTTTTATCCTTAGTAACCTTGATTCTCTTCATCAACTATCCTATCTAAATTTGATTTCGTTTGTTTCCCAACCCCTGCCTCTCCTTTGACCACAGCTGCAACTGATACTAACCTCTTCCTCAATGCCTGCAATCAACTCTATTCATTCCGAATCATCCACCCAGGTCATTCCTCAACCTTCACCCCTTCCTTTCTCCCAACATCCTCCACTCCATCTTCTACTGTGCCGTCTTCATTGTCTACCCCTCACCCTCCTTATTACTACTCTTCATCCTTATTGTCCTCCTCCCAACAGTGCTACCTCTCTCTATACCACCCCATCTTCCTCCCTCTCTCGTCCTTCTACTGCTTCCACCTTTACAAACATTTTGAATACCCTTTTTGGCCCAGCCAAGTGGGATCAATTCTTTCTTGATTCCCCCGAACTCTGATAATACCCTTCTCTTTCAACAGTCTCCAAAAACAGGTAGGCAAAGTTTCCTTTTGCAGTCGTTATAATCGTTCACGCCTTGTCCCAAGCTCATGCACTATCTACCCTCACTGACCTTACTGGCAAACCTATTCCTGCCCAATCTTTCTCCTCCCTTATTACTTGTCCAGAACTGTTTCCATCTCTCTGACTGATTGTCCTGTCTACAAAAAGAATTGGTCAGACTGTGAAAACAACTTGAATGTATGCATCATCGACTATAATGCAGTGGCAGTTCAGTGCTACACTATTCCTCCCATAGGCCATTGTAGGCCCTACACCAATATTGCCATGACTAGTTTCTGTAGTCATGACCTCCTCACATGAAGTTTATATTGGTGGAGTGTCCTGCCCTGTCCAACCATATCGACCCTTCCTCATCAGTGTCAGAAATGTTGGCATTGTGGCCTCCCAGCCAAACACTGTTGCTCCACAGCCGGCTGCCCTCTATGTGCTCCACCTGGACATGACCGTTTATGCATTCATGCACTTGGACCAATTGTGTGTCCATAATGTATTTTTGTAGGAGCTGCCCTGCATTTTTCTTTCTACCTATTCTAAAACTACTTTGCTCTGCTCCCATCCCATCATCTCAAGAAGTCACAGCATCTCCCCCAGTATCTCTTCCCTCTACTCTAAACCATCCTATCTCTACTCCCTCTCTTCCAGTCTAAATCCAGATACTCCAATCTCTTTCACTTCCCCCGGTGCCTACTCCTCTTCCTTCTCCCTCTTACCTGTCACGCCAGACAATCTAAACGTTCCACCCCCATCTTCTACCACATCCTCTCCTACACCCACCTCTTCCTCTACTCCTTGGACATCTATTCCCTCTTCTCCTCCACATAAGAAAACCTTTGTTTCTCAGCCCCCCCCCCCCCCCCTAGAAACTCTTGAAGACATTGAAAAGTTCATAAACACGAGTCAAGAGAATAATTGAGTCCCTCACCCAGCCTCTATTCCTAATTTGTCTACATTCACAGTATTTGCCAATATCCATCCCCCTCCTCCTCAAGTTCCTCCAACCCTTCTTCCTCCCACTCATCCAAAAACACTCCACCCACTCCTCAGCCATGTTCATCACCATTCCCCCTTCCTTCCTCATTATCCTTACCACCCCCACTTAGATGCTTACTTGACTCCCTTAGACCTCAACAATGTCCTTCTCTGGACCCCTTTCCTCCTGACATTCATCCCAATACTTCACCACTTTCCCATGTTCCCCTATCTCATTCTCTGGAATGTTCTACTTCTACAACTATTGTTTCTTCCGTATCACCCTTTGATTGTTTGACAGTAGTTCTTTTGCAGTTTCCTCATATAGTGTTACTCTCCCTTCCACAGACACATACTCTCCATTTGATCTGATCGCCTTATACCTTTAACCACATTCCCATTGTATTCTATTTGCTCCCCCTCTATACCCTTTTCACTACCATCCTGTCCTTCATTGCCCTACAACCTTTGACATCTAACATATCTTATCCTGGTCATTATCTCATTTCCACCCTTTTTGCCACAATACTTTATCATAGTGGTATATGACCTTTGATGTCTAGCCCTTTTATCTCTTCCAACCATTAACCATTATAATGCTAAACTACATGGGAATTTAATTAAGAGCTACAACATATATATATTTCTTCTTTTCCCATTTAAAATTAGAGAATAGAAAAATGAGGACACCTGCTCAGATTGGATATGTTCTTTCTATTGATTTTTTTTTTTGGCCACAATGAAAATGCTAGCTATCTAATAGAATATGGCAACTTAATCTTTGAGTGATGAGACAGACATAAAACTTGGAAAAAATAATAACTGTTAATTATAGACTGTCACATATACATATCCTAGCATATACACGTAATCATACATGCATGAAAAAAAAGCAATTTAGAGTTTGCTTCATTTGCGCTGTGTGGCTGACCAGTAAAGAAGATGGCTTGATCAATAACTCTTGATAGTAATTGCAGTAACAAGGAAAAGTAACACAAACCTATTACACAAATGCAAGTTATTTGTATGTTTAAATACATACAGTATGCAAATGATAGTGATTCCATGAGTAAATTAGATTAGATAAATTAAAATCAGGAATACATAATTACATGACAAATAAATAAGAAACAGATTGGTAATCTTGAAAATATTCTTTTTTTGAAACTCCAACAGTATGAGCTGTGATTTGTATGACAATTGAGACAATATATTTAGACAATCATACCTCGTGCGTTGATAAGCTGGTCCATCCACAAAAGTAAAGCATGACTAGACAACTGTACAATATATTGACCCAACACATATGAAGAAATATAATTAGTTCTCATGGTCATACAGCCTCACTGTTAAATATATATATGTATGATCATATAAATGGACCTAGAAAGAGAAATGATTGGTCACAGGTTGACTACCTTAAAGCTACCAGCCAAAAACTTTCCTACTTCCTCTCTTGGCCTAGACTCCACCTCCCCTCTCTTTGCCTTCCTCTCTCATTAAGGCAAACAGACAGAACTATTAAAGAAAAGCAGTGATCTTAACCCATTCGCGCCAGATGTCACTTTTACGTGACATGCCTACTGTGAGTTTACTTGTTTGATTGTTTCTACACATAGATGGCTACACTTGTACTTGTACTGCCTGTCTCACTTGTTTACTCTTTTCTCTAATTTACGAAAATATTTTACGTTATCTTATTTTGTTGTTACTAATGTTTATAACATTATAGTAATTATAATATTTATGATAAAAATAACCATCGATATT